ATCAGTGGTGCCTTCTAAAATAATGAAACAACAGTCTTACCTTTGGGAAAGGACTATAAACTCCTTAAAAGAACCGTTAAGTCACTCCATTAGGTGGTTTTTGAGAAAACCAGGAATCACCGGTGACAACGTGCATATTAGAAGGATCCAAAAATATATGATAACTTACAAAATATTTGAAATATCTTCTAGAGAAAGTTCACTGACACCACGAAACTCACCAGATTTCAACCGTTTATAGCAATTTGAATCCCATGAAGTTGAAACCTCTGAAGAAGAGACAACTGCTATTCAAGAGATCAGAGATCAATGTAAATAGGTGACAGTATTTATTTCTTCATTAAGAAAAAGAAGAAGAGAAGATGATGATGGTATTTAAATTAAAAAAATATATTAATTAAAGTATATTTGAATTAAATTATTTATTTTTATTTTAGATGGCAGTCCAATTACTTGTCAAGATATTAAAATCTGCTACACCAATTAGACAAGCAAAATGAAATTATTTAAAGACTAGAAGATGAAATCATTAATGTTCAAAAATTTCTGGAGAAAAGTGAAATTGAAAATTATATGTCAATAGACAAATTTATTACTGTAAATATTTTATATTTATTCTAAATTAAAAATATATTAAACTAATAGTTTAACTATTTTTTCATTTAGAGATTAGTAAATACATCCGCAAATTATTCGATTACCAAAAAAATATATCTGAATAAAGATGAATTAAAAGATGCAGCAAGTCATATTGTGTTTACTGAATTTTCAGATTATTTTAAAAATTTGGATCAAAGGTGTTAGGTATTTTATTATGATACAAAAATTATTATCAAGATATAAAATTAATTTATTTTTTCTTTTGATTATATCTAAATATACTAAATATATAAAATAAATATTAAAATTTTAATTAGTTAAAGTTCAATTATCATAACAAAAGAGTAACAATTGCTAATAAGATTCGAAAAGTCATTTTTACAACTTTTGAAGAAAAAGGTCTTCTGAAGATTATTATAAAATCTTTGGCAAATACTGTAAAAAGCTAAAAAGAATTATATGAAATAAGAAAAGCATATCAAGAATTTAATAATGATCAATTCAGTTCTCAAATTCTTCAAAAAAGTTGATTGAAATGTCTATCTGAGAAACAATTGGTATTTACAATATCTGTTATTAAATATATTTTTAATTCAAACATATATTCAATTCAGATTAAAGACGAATATATTTGTTGTTATATGAAAAAAACACTAGAAAAAATAAATGTCAGAAAAAAATTAAATTATTGATAGAAGAATTTGAAGAAGAAGTAGAGAAGAAAGAGGAGGAAGAAGAAATGGAAGAAAAGAGGCAAGAAACAGAAAGAGAAGAAAGGAAAGGAAGAGAAGGGGAAGGAAAAAAAGGAGAAGGGAAAAGAAAAGAAGTTGTTACAGAAGGTTCTGTTATTTGATAATTATTTATTATTTAAAACAAGAATATTACTTTTATTATTATTTTTATTATTATTATTTTATTATTATTATTTTTATTATTTTATTATTATTATTTTTATTATTATTATTATTTTATTATTATTATTATTATTATTATTATATATTTAAAATAAATATTTGTTTACAAAATATTTGTTGATTTTATCAAAACGAGAAATTATATAAATAATGTTATCGATCATTTCTATTTCTATAAAATTATACCATTTTACTAATTGTAACAAAGGGCAACCATATAAATTCAGATTTTTCTGAAACCAGTAATTATACCATTATACCAGTATAAGATGCAATAGTGATCTATTTGATACTTTTATTTCTGTTATCAATAGAATCTAAAAATAATAGAATTTTTAAATTATAGTTATTATAAAATAATATTATAGTTATTATAAAATAATACCTGTGAATAACAAATTCCACTATTTAACTGATATTCGAAAAATTCATCGTTATTTATGATAATGACAATATTACTAAACCAAGATCAGTTGTGAAATTTATTTGTTACTCAAAGTATTGCGCCATTTTTTAATGTAACAGAATTAAATATTTTAATCACACTTCCTTCAGCAGATATGTTTGACATATCAAAATACTTATTCAAGTAATTTTGAAACTCGTTATAATCTTTTTTCATTTTTTTCATTATTATTTGAATTGTTTTTTTGTTAATCACATTTTTCAACAATATTTAAAAAATTAATATCAAGTAACTTTGCTGTATATGTTAAGGTTATTGGAATTTTATTTTCATGATTATCATCAATTTCATCAATTTCATCATTATTTTCACAATCATCATTAATCTCATTATTTCTATTTTCTATATCATTATCTAAATATACAAAATTTCTATCACTTTTGCTTTTTCCATTCATTCAATTATAATCAAAAATATATTTATTTTCTGAGCTATTCACTGGTTAAAAATTGATAAATTATATACACATCAGATATTCAATATGTGCATGGTACGTCCCTAATATTGGGCATATATTGGATACCTAATAAGTATAGAAAATATTTTTTTACACTTATCGGGTATCCAATATATATATAAAATATTTTCTACACCTATTGGGTATCCAATATACATCTGATATTAGGGATATATCATGCATAAAGCTCCGTATAGACCTTAAGGCTCGCGAGCCTAGCGAGCTGAGCCAAGCTTAATATTATAGGCTCATAGGCTTGTAAGCTAAGCCCAACTAAGGCCTGGCTCACAAGGCTCGAGCCTTAAAGTAGGCTCGCGAGCCTTAAAAATTATCCGTTACTTATGAGCCTACTATGAGACTCGAGCCAAGCTGAGCCTATATAAGTAAGGCTCAGCTTGACTTGAGCCTAACTTATAAACTCAGGCTTGAGCTGAGTCTAAGACTTTTGGATTCAGTTCAACCTGAGCTTTATAAAGCTTGGCTCAGCTCAGCCTATGAGGAACTTTAATCATGCACATATCAAATATCCGATATGTGTATAATTTATCAATTTTTTAACTAGTGATCTTGAAAGTTTGATATTTCACAACCTTATAAAAACTACAATATTTAAAATATATTTAAAATATATTTAAAATATATTCAAAATATATTTTATTAAATATTTTTTAAGTATATAAAAAACTATTTAAAATATTATTATTTTATAATTAAAATATATTTAAAATATATTTAAAAAATACTTAATTTAGATAATAAGTAAGTATGTTTTAAAATATACTTGATTTTAAATATGTTTTAATAATATTTTAAGTATGTTTTAAATATATACTTAAAATATACTTACTCATTATCTAAATTAAGTATTTTTTAAGTATATTTAAAATATATTTTAATTATAAAATAATAATTTTTTAAGTAGAATATATTTTAAATATATTTCAATAATATTTTAATAATATTTTAATTATATTTTAAGTATTTTTTAAATATGTGTATTTTTTATAAGGCAACATTTAAATGAATGTTATATAAGCATTGGATCAATTTTATCCTATGAAATTTTTATTCATTGTACAACTAAATTATATGTAGGATATTGTATATATTTGGTTGGAGTTAATTTTTTTATTTCTTCAGCCATCCAATTATTATAATACTGGTAATATTATAAAATTCAATAATTTTAATTTAATAATTTCAAATTATTAAATAAAATTATTAAATAATAAATAAATTTAATAAAAAATAAATTAATAGAATAAAAATACCTTATTTTTAAATAATTTCTTAATGCTTACATCAAGTGGTTGTAATTTACTTGTTAGACTACTAGGAATAATAGCTAAATTTGTATTTTTTTATTAAATCTATTTTTTACAGAATCTGTTAAATGACTACAAAATGAATATAGCACAAGTAATAAATGAGGATCAATAGATCTTGTAGCATGCTAATTCTAGATGTTTTCAATTCACCAAATCATTTCATCTGAATTCATATATCTCTTCCGATTTGTACGAATTATAACCTCTGATGGAAAAATTTGTTGTGGAACATTTACAAGTTTAAAAATTATCAATGGTAGTAATTTTGTACTATCTGCTATACAAAAAAGTATCACAGTAAAATTTGATTTTTCATGTCTTGTAGTATATATACTAACTGTTCTAAAACTTGTTTCTTCTATTGTCATATTGCTAGACATATCAAAAGTCAAGGGTGTTTTATTCATATTTTCAATTAAACTTAAAGAATAATCATATTGAATATAGTAATAAAAAATAAAATTTAAAAATTCATGTTATTTTTCTATTAAATCTTTTGATAACCTTTGTGCTATTGTTGTATAGTGACGATTACTAAGTTTATAATGGCACATAGATCCTTTTAACCATTTATTATCCTATTTGCATTCTAATATATTAAGATATATTGTAGTATATTGTAATTTTCTAGACAAAATTTTAGCTTTTTTTTGTATTATATAATAGGAAACCACTTTTTGATTAAAGCACAAAGATTTAACCTATTTGAAAAATTCTATTTCAAGTATTGAATATTGAGGTTTTGTACCAGTAGAAAGTTTTTTAATATGTGATTTTGTTAATAAAAGTTGTTTTTTTTTGTTGAGCCAGTTTCTTAATTGTTTAGGTTCTATACTAAATTTTACTGTTACATTATATTTAGAAGTTTGAAAATTTTGTTCAAAGAATATTACTATTGTCAACTTTTCTCCTACATTCCAATTTCTCTTTTTTTTATTTGTAATTTTTGCTCATTTTAAAAGATTCTGGTTTTGGAGAATTTTATTTGAAAAAAATTTTAATACACCTTGACATATACAACACATACAAATATTATATAAGGAAACTATAATTTGTATCCCCTTATTTTGTACCCTCTAAACAAAAATTCATGCTGAGTAAAATACACTTCCCTATATAAAATATTCCTCTAGGTACAACTCAAGTTTTTGGAAGGTAATATGTAAGATACCCAGGGCTTTTAGTCAACGAATTATGGTATATCTTTAATCAAAAAATCTATTTAAAAAATTTTAGATTTTAAGTAAAATAATTTTGTTTTTATGAAAAACTATTTTGATTTTTTTTTTTCAAAATTATAATTTTGAAATCTCAAAATAATTTTATATGCAAGTATAATTAGAGTAAGCTAAATATTTGTATTATGTAAATAATGTAAAACTTACTACAGTATAGAACCTCTATAATAGAAATTTAATTATAATAAAAATTATTTAATTTTTTTACATTAAAATTTTATTTATTATATATATAAATAAAATTTTGTCTATAGAAATTGATGGTTTAGAATTTAAACTTTTAAAATTATCAGTTAAAATTTTAATCTGACTTAAATTTACTAAAGTTGAAGTTTTTGTATTTAATTATACCTATTAAATTTGAAAATATATTAAAAATAGTTAACTATTATAATTTTACTTTAAAAAAAAATTTCTATTGATTTTAGATATTTTGTATATACTTGTATACAAAATTATTTTAGGGCTACGAAATTGTAATTTTTAAAAAAAAAGTTGAAATAGTTTTTTATAGAAGATGAAATTATTTTACTTAAAACCTGAAATTTTTTAACTATCTAGATTTATTCTTTGATTGAATATACACATAACTGGGTATTTTTTTTACTTCTATATATAGAATAGATTCTGCATAAATTTCAAAAAGTCAAAATATCTCAAAAATTCAAAATCAATTTTGGAAACATGTATAATTTTATACTTGTTATAGTACTATTGATAAAAGTTTAAGAATAAAAAAATGAAATTTATAATTTTATATAAACACATGATCATATTTTTTTGAATTTTTATTGGCTAAAATTGCATCTTGTTAACCAAAAAAATTGAGAAAATTTTTTTTCCATAAATAAATTCCTCCAAATGTATACTGAGGTGGCACAAATGCCACGGGGAATGCTGTACGAGGATTGCGGAAGGTTACAGGAGATGGTAGCAAGGTGACTAAAGATGAGTGTGCTATCATCTAGATGACAGATTTCTCATCCTTGTACAGCATCTTTCATCCTTGAGTGTCATCCTCAGGGAAAAGGAGAAAACATGTTTAGACACGAAAACAAAAGGAAAAAGAGAACAAATTGAAAGGTATAAAAATAACCAGCAAAAAAAAAGGAGAATCCAAAAAAGAACAAGAACCAAAATAAAAATATTTTACTTGATATTTCGAACAATTTTAATTTGTTTTATTTTTACTTAAATATTTTGAACATTTAATTTAGTTTTAATTTTACTTTTCATTTGTAATACTTTTTAATAATAATAAATAATATAGTTGCAAGACTAGCAAAGCGATAAGATACACCAAAGCAATAATATATCGCTATTGTTATTCTCTTTTATTTCTTTTATATTTTTGTAATAATTTCAAACATAAATTTAGTGTAGCGGAATAACAAAAGTGATAAGATACGCCAAAGCAGTAATATATTGCTTTTGTTATATCCGATATCAAACTTTAATAAACTATTTCTTTTATTTCTTGGCAAGTTACATCAAGAAGTCTACAATAGTTTCGGTAGTGTTGTTAAAGATACTTTTACTCCACTTGCTCATCGTACCTTCAGATATTACATTGTTCAAGAGTGTTAGTAAGCAGGTTTAGATCGACTGATTGCCTGTCTTGCTGAGTTTTGTGATATAGAATCATTGTGTGATTATCCTAAATTTATTGGCTTAACTTTCCACACTGTTCTGCGCAGACCGCGACAATACATTCAAATACTATAATATAAAAGAAATCTGAACATTGGATTAAATTTTATTTAAGATTTTATAAGTTCCTATTATAGAGGTTCTGCACTGTATTATCTTAATAAACAAATTTGGGGCAAAAAAAAACAATGCAATTGATTATAATTGTGTAATTATATAAGTTATTATTAAAAGTCTTCTGAAAAACTAAAATTAATCAAAAAAATATGTAATTTTGTAGATCTTAATATTTTAATACGTATTTTTTTTTAAACTCTTGGATGTCTTTAAACATATATGAAAATAAAATAATTGAAATCCTTGTAGTATATATTATATTTGTTTTATTAATTATTATAATTATTATTGTAACTTTGTCAAAGAAGCTTTGCAATTTAATTAACAATATTTTTTAACAAAATTTTACGATATTAACATCGGGAAATTATACTAGGCGTAAATTTTTTGTGCATTTTTTTGACTTCGCGAAGCAAGAGAGTAATTCAAGTTTTATTTATTATTTCACGGTAATAAAAAATTTAAAAATCGGAGATGGCTATTTCAGTTTTAATATGCCGAACACAATCATTATAACCCAGATCTAAAAATAACTTTTCGCTGATTTCTATACTGCAATACTTCACGCCTTACTAAAATATCAATAGCTCTTGATATAATACTTGGTTTATATTGATCCTTTTACGTAAAATAAAATTATAAATGCAAAATTCATTAGTTCATAATATGTCAAAGAATCATTTTGTAATATTATTCTTAATTATAAGTATACCCTTTCAAGGTCTTTAATTATTCGTTGGACTGAAGCTCTTGATCCCATCGGAATACGACTTTTAATTATCTTTTCCACATTTTTCACTTCACGTGCTATCTGAGCTTGTGAAATACCGTCCACTATTGAAATATAAAGCGTCAAGACTAGTTTTTTTTTTTTAATTCTTTATTGTGGTAAACCATTTGCATTAAACTACCTTCTCCTGATTGTAGAGCGTCCATAGTTGATTTTTTGAATAAGCGTATAGCCTCATCCACATGCTGCTCTGCCACTCGTGGCGATAAGGACATTTTGGCTAAAGATTCCGAAATACGCACGATAGCTTCTAATTGTCTACAACAATAAATAAAATTTAATGAGTTTAATGAAAAAGCTTTACAGATTCAATATCGAATAACTACCTGACCGTAATTGGGATTATAGATCGTGCCCCTGTATCTTGTTCAATTCTCTTTACTTCAGATCTAATAGAGACGAAATGGCTACTTAATTTTTCCGCGGCTTCTGCAGATAATCGAGGGGCACATTTTCTGTGTAAAACAAACATTTTTTTTTTTTTTTTAATTTGAGAATTACGAACCATTTTTTATTAACATAGAACGAATGATTAACCTACAGTCGAGCATATCCGATATATTTTTTCATTGTAGCAATGTCAACTTCACCAATCGCATTTTCTGGTGGAGCACGATGCATATGAACTGTGAGTACATGACGAGCAATTTCCTAAGAATATCTCAATATTTATTATGATTATATATAATGAATATTTGTATTATAAAATAAAAGGGTATATAAAATAAATATGTTACCCGATCTCTTTCATCATTGTGTACATCCTTCACGATAAAAATCATGTCAAATCTTGACAGTATTGTAGTTTGAAAATCAATGTTCTAATATTTTGACAAAAAGAACGAAAATGGCAAATAAATAAATGAAAAGAAATATACATGTCGTCATTAAATATATTTACCTCTCCTGGAGTTTTCATATCATCATAACGACCAAATATTGGATTAGCAGCAGCTAATACTGAAGTACGAGAATTGAGTATGGTAGTTATACCAGCCTTGGCAATAGAAATAGTTTGTTGTTCCATTGCTTCGTGAATTGCTACTCGATCTTCATCTCGCATCTTGTCAAATTCATCTATACATATAACCCCACCATCTGCCAATACCATTGCACCCCCTTCGAGATGAAATTCCCGCTATTCACAGAAAAGTTAATATCATATTAAAACTTGGTATGCATAGATTAAAGTTAAACTCTTACAGTAGCGACATCTCGGACCACAGCAGCCGTCAGACCTGCGGCACTACTGCCCTTTCCTGAAGTGTATACAGCGACAGGTGCGACCTGATTTAATTTATAAACTAATTTTTTAATTAAAATTTTGTTTGTAAATTATACTTTTAGTTTATTAATATACCTGATGCACAAACTTTAGAAATTGACTTTTTGCGGTTCCTGGGTCGCCCAACAAGAGAACATTAATATCGCCTCTTAATTTCATTCCATCAGCCAGAATTTTTTTGCTTCCACCAAAAAGTAAACAAGAAATTGCATGCTTAATTTCTAAAAAATAAGCAATTTACATAAATTTAGAATGTTATATTATATATTATATATATTTTAATCGATTCTAGAAAGGTTTAAGTGAAGATTTCAAATAATAATAACCTTGATTTCCATAAATCGAAGGTGCTATACTACTAGTAAATATATTATAAAAATCAGGTCTTCGAGATAACTTAATTATTTCCTCTTCTTCAGCGTGCGTGAAACTACTCAAATCTTGACCTATTTGTTCGTTATCAAGTTCAAGCCCAAGAGCTTTAATATAAGGTATACGGGTTCCAATTCCTTGACCTTGTTTCTGAAATACAATTATGTTCAAATTAAGTTTAATTTAATCCAAATGAATTTAAATAATTTTAAATAAAATAATTTAAATCCATTTTATAAAATACGGATAAATTTACTTTCGATGAATAACTTTGGAAAATGTCATATATTCCCACAGTTGTAACACGCCTCCCGGGAATTACTCTATTGGTCAAGTACCTATAATATGATATAAATTTTTAAATATTTTTATCATGGCAGAAATTCTTTTTAATAAAAAACTACCTGTCTACATGTACTGTTATATGACGTGGTAAATCACCAACAGGAAGAAGTTCAGGAAGTTCTTGAAGTTTCAAAACTTGTTGATCCACAAAAGTACATTTGTCATGGATTACGACATAAGGATCAAGCCCACAATCTTTAGGTCCTAAACCGGTTGGGTCACTGATATGGGAAAATGATTTCATTAATTCATCAATTCCCCGAATTTTAAATTTAATATATACTTAAAGATAATATAATCAAAATTTTTACCTATCACATGATCGAGGTAATTGAATTCCTGAAAATCCACCAGCAACATGAATCATTTTATATTGTCTGCAAGTTTTACACATAATCTGAATATGTGTTGCTTTTGCAGTGAGATTTGTTGCTGCAATAATAATACCGGAAACGCGAACAAGCTGAGAAATGTTATTTGACTAAACAATAAATCTGTTAGAATTATATATAAAACTTCTTTTTCGAAAATCAACATAATCTAAAATTAATTAAACTTTTTTTTTACGTTTAGTTTTCTTAAATCTTGAATACTGTCATTAGAACGAAGTAAAACTTGAAAAAGAAGAATCGATTCATCTTGTAAAAGTTTTTTTGCTAAATTTGTCACGGCTGTTTCAAACTGATAAAAAAAATTTTTATTATTATCAAAAAAAAAAAAAAATTATTAAAAATCAAAGAGAAAATCAATAAGTCAATAATAAATAAATAAATTAATTAATAAATAAATATATATATATATATGTACTAATGGTAATATGTCTGCTGGATTAGACTTTAATTTATCAGAAAGGTTCCTATCAGCTTCGTCAAGATGGTCCATTTGTACAACGAGATTAAATTTACGGCCTTCAGCATTTCTCTTAATCTTTTCTCTATATTTGCATAAAGACGCGCGGAATAAAGTTAACTTATGTAAATCAATTATTATTATTCTTTTCAAAAATAAGTGAAAGGAAAGGTTTCACTAAGTAGTAGCCATTTATAATACCTATAGACAAAATGTTCTTCTACTCGAAATTGATCAACAAAATTGTAGAATTTTGACTCTGTTACAGCTCGTGAATCATTTTGAGTTTGAGTTTGGTGATTTCCTGCGCTATAAATTTTTCCAGTATCCCAACCTGTAGCAGCCATTTTAAAAAAATGAATAAGGAATTATATGATTTTATAAGAGTAGAGAACATTTGACGTGAAAAAAACGCGTCAATTGATAAATCAAACATTAACCAATCATATGAAAAGCTAATGTCAAGTGATTTTCAAAAAGTACTTATAAACTGGTTTTGAAAAACTCCATTTCAAAAATTCAAAAATCTTTGTGAAAATGTCAGAAAAGGTCTTACTGAGTATTCCCAAAATAAAAAGCTCCTTTTTCGAGTCAAACTAAATTTAATCACCATATTATTTTATAGGTGTACATCGAGAAGGAGATCTCAGTTGTAACTGATCAGGTTTGATTTATTTTGAGTGATATTTCTTTATAAATTATCAACTAATTTTTCGCGTTTGTCATAATTCTACTAGGAAGTCGCAAAAAATTTAAAGACAACTAATGGACTTCCCATGCGTAAATGGAAGGTTTCACTTTATTCAATTGACGATGAAACTTCAGAAAAATGTCCTTTAAATTTTGTTGATAGAGTTGAATATCTTTTACATCCCACATTTGAAAACCCGGAACGAGGTATGTATGTCATAAATTTCATTCATTCATTATATTCATTATCAAACGTTATAAACGTTATGTATTAAGTTTGAACCTTTTTACTTCAGTCTTAATTTCACAAAATAGAATATAATAATAATTATTATTATTATTATTATTATTATTTTTTATTTTTTTATTTTATTTATTTTATTTTATTTCTAGTTATTAAAAAACCACCATTTACACTCTCAGAAAAGGGCTGGGGAGAATTTGATATGAAAATTATACTGCATTTCACAGATAAGTCCATTCAACCATGGACTATAGAACACGATCTCAATTTTAAAAAATCTCATTACGAAGTTATTCATAAACTGGTAAAAAAAAAAAAAGAATCAACTTATATCCTTTACTTTATTTACTTTATTTTAATATTAATTGGTAACAATGAATTTTATGATAGAAGTTTTTTGAACCAAAACCACCTTTTCGCAAAATGATTTCTCAAGAAATATCATTAGAATCTTCATTGTCACCAAAAATTAAATCAGGTCGACCAAAAAGAATCAAATCTTCATCTTCAATTTCCTCAAAACGTCAAAAAACGGAATTATCCTTTACTCCAACATATGATTCACTTGATTCAACGAGTCCATCTTGTTCTAACGAAGCTATGAATGGTAAACAAAAATTTCAGGTGAATCCTCACCCCTATTAGTAAAAATATATTAATCATAACGAGTTATTTAGAAAGAAATATAAAATAATGAATATAATTTATATAATTTATATAATTTAAAAAAAGGTAGATTACAATAAATTGGCCAAAAATCTTTATGAATTAGAAGGCGAAGATATTTTGGAAGTAATACACCTTGTAAATGAACATCGAACAAGTGAAATGTATATTAATGAAGAAGTCGAAGGTATGCTTTTTTATATAATAATATTATTAAATAAAACATTATATGAGATAATATATATTTCAATTATAGGTGAATTTCACTTAGATTTGCATACTCTCGGTGATAAATTGTTAAAAGTCTTATGGGATTTCACAGAATCGAGACTTTCAGGAACTACGCCCAATTGAAATTAGAATTTTATTTTGATATTTAGTATTATTAATAATAGAAGATATCTTTAATGGTTGAACCAGAAAAAAAAAAAAAATATATACATTTAAATTTTATAATAAAACAGTTTTTATGTTCTATTTTAATTTTTGTTTGAACGTTTAATCTATCACGTGTTTATCACATGTAAATACATTGACCTTTAACCGCAAAGGTATCGTTTTTGATAGAGTAAAAAAAAGTTGAACAATTTTTATTATGACCAAGTTCCTATTATAGAGGTTCAAAAAAATAACCATAGATCTATCTATCAATTAACGATATCTTTGATATTTAATAAAAATTGATATTGAATAAAATTGGCGATCGAATTTGATTGAATTAATTGAAATTGAATTAATTTTATTGATTTTTGATTCAAGAAATCATGGCAGAATACAAGGGTGCATCGTCGGAAGGTCAACGACAGGCCATGTTGGAGAAACAGAGAGCAAAAATGTTAAGCGATTTCGAAAAACAACGTGAAAAAATCGCTAAAGTGAGTAAGTTATGGTGTTTAGCTTGATTACTAAAAAAATAAATACCATTTAATTCAGTTAACTGAAGTTCTGACTTTTTTTTTTTTTAACAAATAACTCTATTAAAGGACAACCAAGTTAATATAAATACCAGTAAATTTGTTACTCAATATGATGATGTAGAGGATTCTTTGAAGAAAGAAACTATTGGTCTTGTCAAGCTTGAAGATTTTCAAAAGATTAGAAAAGAATTACAAGTGCAGAAAGAGAGAGAAGCCGCCAGGACCGCTGAAATAAGGCATATTTTATACATATTTCACAGGAATCATATATATGATAAAATTTTGAAATTAATATAATTAATATAATTATCTTTTAGGGATGATAAAATCAAAAAGAAACGCAAGAAAAGGGAAAAGGTCAAATTATCGTTTTTGGATGATGTAGATGATGATAATATTATTGATGACAATAATATTAAAAGTAAAAGTACAAACAATATTACAGATTCTGAGAGTGGAAATAATAATAATAATGATGATAATAATAATAATAATAATAATAATAATAATAATAATAATAATAATGGCGATAATCAAGAGGGTATTTAATTTAAATAAAGGGATATATTGATTACGCGTTTTTAATTATCAATAAATAAACCAATTTTAAAAATTATTATTACAAATAAATTAGATTCTTCGTCACCACCACCAAAAAAATCAAAACTAGGCAAAAATCCTAACGTTGATACTTCATTCTTGCCCGACAGAGACAGGGAAGAAGAAGAACGTAAAGAAAGAGAACAATTGCGATTGGAATGGTTACGAAAACAAGAAGAAATAAAAAGTTTGTAGATAATAATAATAATATATATATATATATATATATATATAATTAATTATATTAGCTCAAATTTATTCGATATTCTTACTAAATAATAATTATAATTAATAGATGAAAAAATTAGTGTCACATATTCGTATTGGGACGGTACCGGACACCGTAAAACAGTGTCGTGCAAAAAGGGCGATTCTATTGCTGATTTCTTAGAGAAATGTCGACAACAGTTTCATGAGCTACGTGGAGTGAGCGTGGATAATCTTATTTATGTAAAAGAAGATTTAATTATACCACATGTTTGTACATGAACAAATACTTTACTTACATATATTTATAATATTTACATTCATTTAAATTCATTTATTTAAATTTATTAAAATTTTATTTAAATCTATTTACATTTATTTTAATAGCATTACACATTTTATGATTTCATCATTAATAAGGCAAGAGGAAAGTCAGGTCCCTTGTTCAATTTTGATGTTCATGATGATATACGTTTGACTCATGATGCAACTATCGAAAAAGATGAAGTATGTTTATAAACTGAAACAAATTTTGTCTTTCATATTTATATTTATAATATTTATAATTCATTAATATTATATAAAACCATTAATAATGTGATAATAGTCACATGCAGGAAAGGTAGTTGAAAGGAATTGGTATGAAAAAAATAAGCATATTTTTCCGGCAAGTCGATGGGAAGTGTATGATCCTGAGAAGAATGTGAGTTATCTTTCAATAATAATAATAATAATAATAATAAATAATCTAATAATAAATAATCTAATAATATATTTTCCTGAATCATTAACAGTATGGAAAATACACGATTAAAGATACAAATAAAAAGCCTGGTTCATTATGATTTGTTGTTGTTTAATAATTAAAAGATTTAAAAGATATATGTATACATATTCCATAAATAAAAATTAAAGGTAATATAATATTTAAAACTTGTAAATATTATAAATTTTTGATGGCTTAATATTTTTTTACTAATTGATTATTTTTATTATTTTTTCTTTACAATATTTACAATATAGAATTTTTTCGTGAATTCCTTCCACGCTAAATCATCTTTCCACACGCTTGCATCATTGCAGTCAAATGTATGTTTAATGATGAACCTCGTCTCTTTGATTTTTTGTTTTATTTTTTATCTTTTAACAAAATTGATATATTAAAATTCTTTATAGATTTTATTAACTCTGACAATGTTTCAGATATTACATTATTATTATTGTTATTTTATATATATATATATATTTTTTGCAAATGTTGTGAAATAATATTTTTGTTCTCTTATTTTTAATGCTTATCGTAAAGATAGTATCGTGATTGTCTGATACATTCGATTATGATTTTTTTTTTTTTTTTTTAGTGGAATAAATTACGATGTTAATAAAAAAAAATTTTTTTTTTGTAGATTGAGATTTCTTGAAGTTATATTAATGAGTATTATTATTATATATATATTTTTTATATAAATTAATTATACCCCCCATAAACACACCATTTCCTTTTTCAATATAAAAGTAATGCAAATAAAGTTACAATTAAGAAAAAAAATTGTATACAATAATTATCATAAAAATAAATAATAAAAATAAATAAGAAAATGGGTTGTTGTAATAAATTTGGTTGTAAATATGTATGTATTAGAAATATGTATATACAGTAAGTAATTTATTACCATTTTGTGGTATTTGATCAGCGGAAGAACGATTCATAACAAAATTTGGATTCCCTATTATATTTGAATCTGAAGAAGCTTTTCGTGTCAATTTTGCAAAGGATGATTCAACCTTTTTTTGAATCTGTAATTCCCTTTCTTTTTTTAATTGTTCTGCTTCTTCTTGTAGCCAACATTTGGTTGATATTTGACACATTCGACACAATTTTCTCTCATGAAGTTGTACAGCTATTGATTTGAATATCGTATCCACAACTTCAGCACGAAGAAATAATGAATGTTTTCCACCTTCAATTAATGTTAATCTACAATCTGGCATATTCTCTTCCATCCATCGTACAGCTGACACCGGAATTCGTTCATCCTTTGTTCCATGAAATACATGTACTGAACGTTCAACATCAACATAAGAGAATCCGAAAGGACGACGTCGTTCGAAACACATTACTAAATCATTATTTGCACCAGCTAAATTTTCGGCAAAAGAAGCTTTGAGAATAGCGAGCCCTAGTTGTTGCTTCTTTTCAACATTAGATACTTGAGCAGCCAAAGCACCAGAATTTCTTTGTGATGCAGGTTTTGTTGAATAAGGTTGTCGACCATGTATAATTTGTTGTATTGATATTCCAGCTGAATTTGTGAATTTCATTATTGGGGTAGGAACAAATCGTAACCATTTAAAATTATTTGCTACGGTTGTGCTCACCCAAGGACAAACAAGATAAATTGTGCCTTTAATTCTTTGTGGAATCTTTAGGGCACAAGCAAGTGCATATGGAGCGCCTGCACTATGAGCCATTAAGAAGAATTGTGGTATATCTAATATATTACAAAGTTCTTCTATTACACCTAAGAATTTTAAGAATTTTAAGAATTTAAATTAAAATACAAAAATAATTAAAACAATAACAACAACAAAATAAAAGTTATATTATAATTTTTTATTACTTGGCCATTTTAATACTCCTTGTTCATCCGATTTTACGTCATCTGAAAGTCCAATTCCCGGACGATCTGGACATATTAATCTTAAACCATAACTTTTTGCCAAATCATCAAAAAAGGCAATGAAATAACGTACACAACCCATACCCAAAAATATAAAAACTGGAAAACCATTTCGATCTCCCACTTCAGAAAAACTAACTACTCTACCAGAACTTAATCTTACACGTTGAGTTAAACGTGGAGCAGCTAAAAATGTAAGGATATCTAAATTATTTTCATCATCTATGATTTGATCTGATGATATTGAAGTGGTTGAAGGAGATTCCATGGTAGGTATGGTAGGTATGGTAGGTATGGTAGATATGGTAGGTATAGTTTCTTTACTTTCTTTACTTTCTTTACTTTCTTTACTTGAATTTAATGTGTGAGGTGAAGATTCACAAGTTGAAGAGTTGGAAGATTCTGATATATCAGTGGTTATGGATAGAGTCACAGAAGTTTTGGGGTCAGAATTTTCGTCAGTTATTACAGATAACCTTTTTCTTATGAAAAGAGAAGTTGGTGACTTTAGAGGATTTAAACGTGAAGTAGATGTGGATGTTGTCCTTTTTATTGAAGAAGATTTATCCTCTGAAATATCAGAAGTCTTACTCGTTGGACGTTGCAAAAAAATACTTTTTGAAGTATTAGAATTTGATAAAGAGAATTTCTTTTTGGAAGCAGAGGAAATATTTAATTTTGGTTTTAAATGTTTATTTTTAAGAGAAGTTAGAGGAGGTTTATTTTTTGTGGATATTAATGGGTTTGCTTTTATTTTATCCAGAGAAATTGGCAAAGTTTTTGATTTATTAGATTTATTCGTAACTCCGCCGCTTGAAATGGTAGTGTTGATAGAATTTGTGAAAACAGCGGAAGAAGAGATGCGTTCTGGATGTACGTTCATGCTTTTCAAACCTTCGGGTTGGATATATAAAAAAATTAGATATATGTATATATTACAAATGACTTTGTATACATATACCATGCAGATAAGTATTGAGGCAAAGAGAGAAAAAAAAAAAGAGAAAAAGGAGAAAAGAAAGAAAGTGAGATGAGATTTTAAACGCGTTGACTTGAAAGAAATGATACTCACTCACGTTATATAACTTTGAATAAATATTTTTTAAAAAAATGAATACATATATTTTTATTTCGTATCTATATCTATATCTAGAAATATATATTTAGATATATATATATATATATATATATATATATAAATAGATATATTAATTTCTTCTCTCTTTATTTAAGAGAAAAACAGGAAGCGGACGGATTATAATACAAATAAATTTTAGGAATATAAAAGAAAGTGGATTATTAGAAAGAAAAATTGAGACCCAAAAAAAAAAATTGAAAGATATTAAAACATAACATGTTAAAACGTATTATAGTAATTCAAGAACGAGTATATCATAGTACACAACATAAATAAATAAACATAATTCATATATTTGCATTCTTTTACTCTTTTATGGGAACTTCTCTGTTACCTAAATTTTATTATTATTTTTTTTTAATAAACGAATATATTACAATTCTCAATTCTCAAAATGGATACAATTCTCAAAATGGACTAAAAAGTTCATCCCCTAAAATTATATATAAACTATCTATATATAAACTATATATAAATTATATTTACTTCTCATTTTTCATTTTTCATTTTTATTGATTGATTTTTTACTTTGATTTTTTTTTTTTTTTTCACTTTGATTTTTGATAAATAATTAAATAATTTTACAATGGGATATGACTGGTGGAAATCCAAGAAGAAAAAGCAAGCAGATCCTAAATATCATGAAAACCTTGCTCATACCTTAAAAGATATTATTATAGGGTCTGATCATGTAACCCATGCTAAAAAGAATAAACGTGTTGTCAAGGCCATGCAAAATAATGCTGCCGCCTTGGGGGCGATTTCATTTTTGAAAGCAATGCCAGATCCTACCTTACCTACTGTTGAAGTTACGGTTGTTGAAGAGAATAATCAATCAACTTCAATTTTAGATAAAAAAAAGAAACCAAATGATTCCTTTAAAACCAAGGAAAATGTTATTCTAGGTGGTAGTACTAGTGTTAGCATAACATTATTTAAACCACCTTTAGACCAAATATCCGCATATGCATTCTGGTGGGGATATGAAATATATATTCCTGAAAATTGTATGGGACGTTTGGATCAAGCTCAAAATGTTGGTAATGCTTTCTTGGGATTTTTACAAGTAATTGCTGGTAATGCAACTGCTATATCTCCATATTTTGGATTTATTTCTGCATGGGTTGGTTTACAATTTACTGTAATTAAATCTCAAAATAACGGTCACGGAGTTGTTCTTGCTGCAACTTGGTAATAATAATTTTATTTATTTATTTATTTATTTATTATTATTATTATTATTTATTATTTATTATTATCTAAGTTATTTATAAATTATTTAAATTATGTTTATTTAGGATTTTACCAGTTGCATTAATACCGAGACCTTGGTTAGAATTTAAAAGTTATTATTTTTTTTTCTCTCTTTTTAAATTGGGCTGGTTTCTAATTATTTTATTTTATTTTTTTAGGGATGCTCCACTTGAATGAAATTAATTTCCATAATTAAACAATGATTAAATAATAATAATAATAATAATAATAATAATAATAATAATAATAATTATAATTATAATACTTATTAATTATTATGTAATTTATTTTCTTTTGTATAATATTCATTCTTTTAATATATTTTATAATAAATTTGAATTCAAAATGTAGAAGAAACTAGTTGTCTGATTAGTAAATTCTAATAATTTATTAATTTACTCTCTCAAATTTATACAAATCGATGCCATTATTATGCATATGCATTCCTTTATTGTCTTTATTGTCTTTATTGTCTTTACGCAGCGTATCTATTAAATGTTCCTCTAACTAAATAACTTTTCGCAATCTTATCATCCTTTTTCTTATCAGAATAAATAGATTGAATAGCTTTTGACTGTTTGGCTTTTGTATAAGTGCTAGCCAAATGTTCTTGAACCTTCTGATTAACAATTGCATTACTAGCACAAATATTTGATTGTTCAATCCCGATTTTCTTCGATGGTTGTGAATTTAGATTATCATCATCCATCTTTCGTTTATTGTCGTTAGGCGGCGAAGTTGTGGATTTTTCATTTAAACTATCTAAACCTAATTTTTTTTCTTGATTAATTTTCATTCGTTTTTTTCCTTTTTTATCTTTAGCTTTTGCTTTTTTTTCTGCTAATTCAGCCTTTAATTTTTCTTGCTCTAGAGGACTAGAATTTATTGTAATTATACTTTCTGAAGTAAAAGGCTTTCCACACTAAATAACCAAATTAAGAGAAATTAATAAATTAATAAATTAATAAATTAATAAATTAAAAAATTAAGAAATTAAGAAAAATTATAATAAATATAATTAATAATAAATAAATAATATTTACCTGAATACATGTTTCACTTGGTATTTCTTTTAATCCTTGTTCAGAAAATACGCATCCACATTTATTCAAATATACAAATTTCGATTTACCATTCATTTCTTTTCTGGTAATTGGACATATGAATCTTGATACCATTTCTTGATCAAAGTGTGCAATACTTGCAGCAGATGATTCCTTAAAAGCAGGATTGACCGTAAGATTAAGAGTTTTGACGTCCTAAAGGTAAATTAAAAAATTATTATTTAAATGATAATTAATTTATTTAAAACAGAAATATTAGAAAGTATTAATTTTTAATGCAATTATTATTACCTTTAAACTAGATATGTGAGAACAGATAATGTCTCCGTCTCCATACGCACTTTTGTTTAACAAATATTCTATGATTGCATCTTTGTTATATAATTTCCCTAATGCACAAGATACAATAGGTTCTTGTAGAAGACGCTAAATAATTTAAAAAAAATGTGTCATGAATTTTCGTGAAAGAAAACATTGAAAAGTCCATAAATAAAAAAAAATTTTTTTTAAATTAATTACCTTAGATAAAGCACAAAAGAACCAAGTAGCTATTTTCAAAGCGGTTCGATCTGGTCGAACTTCTTTTTGTTTCTCCTTTACAAGTTCGATTCGCTTTGGAATTGAACCACCGTCATTCCCCATTTTTTTATTTTATTATTATAAATAAATTAAAAATTCAAACTTCAAATTGCTAAATCACTTATCTTACATATATATATATATATATCATATGACATTTGTATTATATTTATTATATTTCATTGTAGAGGAGAGATGATTGGATGTAAAAATGCCATGTATCTAGTATAAAAGCTTCTTAAGCCACGAAATTCCTTTGACAGCTTTCAAAAATGTCGGAACCCTCAAAAACTCAAATTAATGAAATATTCAAAAAACTTACTTCCCAACGGGCAAACAAGGCATAATTTGTTTCATTTTTGGTATTTTGTTATAAAATTTTGAACTTTCATTTACCCAATGTACTTTCTACACCAGATGTGTTTTGATTGTCAGGCTAAAAATCCATCTTGGTCGAGTGTTACCTTCGGTATATATCTCTGCCTTGATTGCTCTTCTGTTCATAGAAACCTTGGAGTTCACATTAGTTTCGTCAGGTTCGTTTTGCAGGATATTTTTTGTTGATTGTTGATTCTTAAGTTTGACCGCAATCATTTTAAATCCAAAGATCGATAGCACTAGATTCATGGACATGGGATCAATTACGAATCATGAAAGTGGGTGGAAATGCTGCCGCGTTAGATTATTTCTCAAAATATGGCGGTTCTACTTCGGTAAACAACAAGGACGGGAAATTAAAATATACTTCACGCGTTGCCCTAAAATACAAGGATGAACTTGTTAAAAGAGCTAAAGAAGATGCCAAAAAGTAATTTGTATATTAATTAATTATATATAATATAATATTATAATTTTAAATTATCCTAATACAATTTCTTTTTTCAATTTAAGTAATATTGTTTTCGTAGTTGTCGAACAAATTGAAGAAGAACAGACGACTTCCACAATATCAAATAAAAATGATAATTTTTTTGAATCATTTGAACAAGAAACCGCAAAAAATTCTCCGCCATCTACAAAGAACGTGACTGGAACCAATCATTCATCTACTTCTAATGGTCATACTATTTTGAAAACATCAACAACTAAATCAAATATTTCAACTCGCGGAAAAGGTCCTAAAAAATCAAAACTAGGTTTAGGTGCCGTAAAGCTTCAAAAGGTTGATATTGCGGAAGTTGAACAAAAAGCCAAGGAGGAAGCAGAATTAATTAAACAACTACCATCACGAAGCGAAGAACAAATTTCAGATGAGTCTGTTGAAAACCAATGGACATTTAGTTCTCGTTTGGCATACGATGATGGTTCACAGTCACCAAGAGAATCTAAGGATCTAGGTACAAAAGATCAAAGTGATGATCTTGAAAGACTTGGAATGGGAATTTCAAAATTGGGATTTGGAACTGTATCCAGTGGTCCGAATGATCCGGCACAAAAGCCTTTAGAAGTCTCATCACGTTATACAGGATTTGGTTCTACAGGTCCAAATGCTTCAATCAAAGTAGAAGATAACTGTGCGTATATTTTGTATATTTTGTATATTTTGTATATTTTGATAAATGTATATCTTTATTTACTTTCCATTGTTAATTTTATTTATATTTCTAATTTTATTATCATTATCGTTAGTTTCTTCTTCGGACTCAGATTATGCTCGCCAAAAGTTTGGCAATCAAAGGTCTATTTCTTCTGATCAATATTTTGGTCGTAATCAGTATGATCCAGATACATTGTCTGCTTCATCTGACCGATTGAGACAATTTGAAGGTGCTAGCTCAATATCTTCAAGTCAATATTTTGGCAGAGAAGAAGAACAAATTTCACGGCGAGAAAGTTTGGATTTTAATAATATAGAAGTAAACGCACGTGATTTTGCTCGTAAATTCATCGGACAGGCGACTTCTGATTATGAATCCATAAAATCAGTGGTAGAACGGGGTGGCGAAAAATTAAAGGATTATATCTCAGATATTCAAGTATGAATATTTAAACTTTATTTGTTTATTTTAATTTAATTTTAATTTTAAATTTTAATTTATAAATTTTGCTGACATATTATTTTATTTATAGAATCGTGTAAATTATTGAACTTTACTTTTGGTTGTATTATTTCTTGTTATTTTAAATTTTTAATGCACATTTTGTACTTGTTATTATATAATGAAGAGAATTGGATTGTCTTAAGATATGGATTATGTTTATTATTATGAAGATCCACATAATTATTTCAAGAATTGGGAATCGACTCATCAATTAAAATTAAAACTTTGTAATTTACTAATCAAGATTGATTATTTGTTTGTATACAAAATTCAAAACAAAATTTTGTGATTACATTTTGTATCACGGAATTTATATTTAATTTAGAACTAGCCAGTTTTTTTTTCCAGTATCTACTTTCAAAATTGTTTAATCATAGGGTCTAATAATATATAATTATGGAATTTTCTGAAATTAGAGTAATATTGATACATTATATTTTTGGGAAACTCTTTAAATAGATTGATATCAATTTGATCTGATAATCAATAAGAAACAAAAAACTTTAAAATATTTAAATCAAAATATTACAGTTGATATCAATCCAATTAATATAAAATTACTACCTCTTTAATGAAAGGAATATAACAAAGTTATAAATTATAAAAATGCTGTAATTCATATATACGTTATAACCAAATAATTAGCCCACATACAATGGCTTTCTAATATCAAATCTAATTTAATATTCCTATTTTTCAAATATAATTTCGATGATTCTATTGAGTTCTAATATTCTTTTATTGACTTTAAAATATAATTTGATCTTTTCAGTATCAGTTTACAAATGGTGAAAACGAAAAAATATGATATAAAAGAACAAATAAATATTATGCAATTTACAAGTTTATTTTTACAAATATCATCTTCATTACACAGGTTAAAAATGTTAATATTTTGACTTCTTAGTTTAATTATATAAAAAGTATCAATTAAATTGTATTTTTAGTCAAGATAACTTTAATTACCAAGAAATTTTTATATCTACAATTTCTATCCAGTGATATTTTCATGTTTAACTTTACTATTGTATATAACTATTATACTTTTTCTGAATGTATCAATATTTGTACAGTATATATAAGCTATTGTACTGAATTCTTTCTGGAATATATTAAAAAGTTGTATAAAGATTTTCAATAAATTTTTTAACTTGAAGAAGGTCATTGAAGTTAAATTTTGGTATATTATCTAAAAGATGTATAGTCCAGTTCTTCTAATGTTTCATTAAACATATCTTTTGGTTTCTAATTGTTATAAGACTTTTTATCTTTGACTTTGACTTTTAACTTAAGATTTCAAAAATAATAATATATTAAAGCTATACTTGTCTTCAAATTATGTCTGTTGTTCCATTGTTGAAAAAGTAGAATTCTTTGTTTATAAACTATTGAACTTTCTTTTAATATTTCTTAAGGAACCATTGGTATATGGTATTTCACATGTACCTGACCTGACTTATGTTTATATATGAAATTACCACAACTACATTTGATAGAAACTAATGAGTTATTTTAAGTGGAAAAATGAAGCCAAGAAAATAAATATCTTACTTACTGTTTGCATTTGAAAGATAACAAACAAGAAGTGGGTTTATGTTAATTTATTTATTAGTTGGGAATTTGATTGAAGAGGTTGTTTAAGAATGTGATTTTTGCACTTCAACATTTTTTAATGCTTCAAACTCTCTTGAATTAAATTGCAGATTATGATATTACTACCTGTAGTCAACAAATATACCTGTCTGTTGTGAATTTCACAAATCTTCACAAATCATCCTTGCCATAAATGTCTGACAGGTGTTTATTGTTAAAAATAAATAAAAGTATATAAATTTTTTATTATTTTGCTATAACAAAGTTAGTTGAGAGTAATTAGTTTTTTTTCAAATGATAAAAAAATGATTTTTTAATGAAAAAAAAAAAATTTTCCATGAATCCTATAAAAAAAAGTCTCATTTTAATCTAAAATAGATAAATTTTTGTATGCCTCTTTAAAATTATATTACTTGAATAATAAATAATTAGATATCAAGATCTATAAAGATTTTGCTCTTGTAATTCGAAAATGTAAATTCACCATTACAAGGCTTCACTGATTATTTTTGGGACTTAATTTATTAAAAATATACATCTGACTTGGCATAAATGCGTAAAAAAATAGTAGCTGTTGAATTACAAAGAAACTAAATGAAGTTAAGAAGCTGGAATGGGAGGTATAAGAGAGTAAGTGAGAAACATTTCGTGCCTTTGGTATATACTTGGGTATTAAGAATGTAAAATTTATATCATTATAAGTATAGTTATTATAGATACACAGTATCTTTAAATTCACGAATAGAGAGAAAAAAAAAGAAAGAAGAGAGAAAAGAGAAAGAGAAGAGGGAGAAGAAAAATGAAAGAGAAAGAACGAAAATAATAATAAAAATAAAAAAATACACAATTAGCAGATCAGTAGCTTTTTACTTACCTAAATCGGGGAGCAAAGGTAGGCTGTTTTTTTTTTACCTTATTTACAAAAAAAATTGACTGTTTTTCCTCATTTAACCTGTGCATACAACAGTCTAACAGATTTAAGGAATATTATGAGCTATTTTAATACTATCCAGATGATCAGTGGAGACCTTTATACATGTGACAGAAACTTAGCCGATATTTTTGACACTTCGGAAAATTGCCAAACTATCGAATAACAATTAAATAAATTCCCATATACAGTAAATGCATAAATTATCACTAATAAGGTTTTTCTGTCCTTGAACGTAATTCCTTTTTTTGTTAAAGTTAATTTTTTCTAGTTAGTAGTTAGTCTAGAACTTTATTGGCCCATAGTTGCCGAGTTTTAATATTTAATAATAATTATTAACGAGCGCGTAATAAAAACAGCACGACATATTAATATAGATTTTGATAATCAGCAAAAGAAAGAAACATAAGAGTTATTATAAAACTGTGAAAGGTAGTTTACGTACTTTATATGTCTTCCATCGAAATAAACAGCAACAAAACACCTCCATCTAAGCCTCTCTCCCGGAAACTTTCTAAACCGGATTCAGTAACTTACAGTGATTCAGTGGATACAAATGGAAGTATTCTTAATTCTGTTCGAGGAAGTATCCGACGATTTCGTCGTACTTCTGGTGCAACGACGGCTTTAAATTCAAAACCTGATCCCCTTTCTTCGAACACGCACATTCCTACTTTTTCTCGTTTCCAATCAACTATAGCCAATATTGCTCGCGAACAAACTTCTCGATTAAAAGATATAAATATATCACAGAAAACGGCAGATTTAACGGCAATTGTGCAAGAAATGGGCACTGAGTTAGGGAAGAAAGGAGTAGAATTTGGTAGTATGACCAAGGATGCTGTTGATAAATGGAAAAAAAGAAAAGGTGTGTTGTGATCCTGAGGAAAAAATTAAATATATTAAATTCAGAAGGATCGAAAGGTAAATGAATAATCTGGTGGATCAAGAGAATTTGACAATCATATTACGGAATTTATTATTTAGATTTTCCATCTAGTAACTTTCTCGAAAGTTCCAAAAATGTAACCGGTGTTAAAATTTTTGGAGCACCTTTAAAGACTGCAGTCATTTCAACTCGTATAGAAAAAGATATCGAACAAATTCAAAAAGATACATCAAGATATTGGTTACCCACTGTAATAGTCAGGTGTATAGAATTTTTGGATAAATATGGTATGAATTTGAATTTCCATTTCACAACCATAGATGAGTTTCATAATATATGTATTTCTTTATATTTATAGGTCTAGATGAAATCGGTATTTATAGGTATGTAAGAAAAAAAAAAAAAAAGATTTATAATTTTTTGATTATAATTTTTATATTCTTGTCTTTACGTAGAATACCAGGAAGTGTGTTGACCGTGTCTCGTATACGCAGTATTTTTGATTATGGTATGTTTTGGTATTATTAATAATATTAATTATATTAATTTTATTAATTATATTAATTATATTAATTTTATTAATTATATTAATTATATTAATTTTATTAATAATATTAATTATATTAATAATATTAATTATATTAATAATATTAATTATATTAATTATATTAATTATATTAATTTTATTAATTTTATTAATTATATTAATTATGTAGGCGCAGATTTGAATTTTTTACAAAGTTCAACCGAAGATCCCCATGCTGTAGCCACACTTTTAAAGATGTATTTTCGCGAGTGTATGTATATATTAACTTGTTAACAGTAATTCCAAAATATTATATTTGTATGCTAATTAAATGCAGTACCTGAACCTATATTGACAGAGGTATTATTACCAGACTTTAATGAATGTGTTGCGAAACATACCAATTCAGCTGGGGTTGCTACCCAACCAATATTAGCCTCAGGTTCTCAACAGTTCTCTACAGCATATTTCACTGCACCAACAAAAGTTCCCACTGATCTCCCACGTGATCTTACAAAGATTGTTTCTCGTTTACCCCCTTACAATTTCTATTTACTCCGTGCGCTTTGCGAGCATCTGTCTCGTGTTGATGGTAAAAGCGGAATAAACAAGATGAATATAAGTAATCTCGGTCTAATATTTTGTCCGAATTTAGGAATAGGATCAATTCTTTTCAAGACCTTTGTTGGGTACATTGATATCGTTTTTGGTGAGGGTTGCATACAAGAAGCAGCAGAATTAGAGAATGAAAAGCGTGAACAGGATGCAAAAGAAAAACATGCATCACTAATTTACCATAAGACATGTATTTCGGATGATTTCTCTAAAAGTTTAGAGGATCTGTTGACTCTTAATAAAAAAACACAAACGAATTCTTCTAGCCAATTCCCTTCGTCATCTTCCTCACCTACAAAAGGATATAATTTAGATAAGGATAATATAGGCAACCCCAATACGGTGATGGCAATTTCATCAAGTACACTGTCAGAATCTGAATCTAAATATAAAAACTTAGATAATCAGCAACAAACCTATAACGAAACTACTTTCTTAAGTCTAAATTTGCTCGCAAATAATCATGAACAACATCAGCCTTACCCTATAAATATAACAAATGTTTCTACCTTATCTCCTAATGTTCCATTCCGCAAGAGGTCTTATTCTACAGGTTTACCTTTGACTATTATGGAATTTTCATCCGATTCTTCAGAAAGTGATGATGAAAGCAAAAACTTTTCTGATGAAACAGGTCTCACCGACAGTCCAAATTCTCCAACACTTATGACTTTTGACTATTTTGACAAACATGGTACTAAAAATCTTGGTGTCTTGAATTTATCAAGGAGAGTGTCAAATAAATGGGTAGTAAATCATAATGCCGTTGAAGGTGATAGAACCAATTCATCAGTCGCGAGTATCAGAAGGCGTAGACGAGATACGGATTCTAATAAACCTTCCAATTTACTTGAAGAAAATGTAATGACTGAAAAAAATGAGTCAAATATAAATATAAGTGGAGATGTTAAAACTATTATCAACAAGATTAATAGTGGGATCTCTGATTCCTTAAGTACATCAAATTTACGAGGAAAAACTAAAAAATATTCTTCCGTTGGAAATTTAATTAATCCTTGATCATATTTTTCTGTAAATATTTGTAGGAAATTCTTTAATATTTTTAGTTTTATTTATTATCAATATCACGAAAGATTGATTCTATGGCTGAATTGGAAACCTCCTCGTGTATTTATTATTTTATTTTTTTTATTTTTGTAATTCCTTTTCTGTTTATATCATTTTTTGTAAATTTTTTCATATTTCAAATATTTGATATATTTGATAAAGATTTTCTTTCAACATATATATGCATATTATAGCATTATTGGTATAGTATTAATTTATTAATTTCAAATTTGGGTATTTTATATATTTTATATTTATATGCTAAATTTTAATAGAAATGCAATTTAATAAATTTATAAACAATTCAATATTGTAATTTTTATTTTATATTTTGAATATATCATAATTAAAGAAAGTACAATACTTTATTCGTTATGTCATGATTTTGATTAGAGTTCATTAAATACTTAAGCGAATTACCAAGCATGATTAAATCTTTCCAAAATTCCAGTTGCGTCCGCCACATCTTTTTGTGCCTTTTTTCTCATGTACCTAAAAATATGAAATACAAAAATTAATTAACATATTTATTATATTTATTTTATTTATTAATCAATTGTATTTAATTACAATAGAATAATACCATATAGGACAATCTCGCGAGCTACACAGAACATCCTGATGTAAGCTTCCTTGACATCTTTGACATTGTGTCCAGAGTCGTGCAAAATGAATTTCAAGAGAATTTACAACGTCCAACTAAAATTCAAAATTTTAAAAAAATAAACATTTAAATATTGAATGTATATATATATATATATATACATATTTATTTATTTATTTATCGAAACATAATTAATAAAGTTAGGTTACCTGTTTCTGGAATAATTCACCTAGTTTTGGTTTACAATGTTTACACACTGGTATATCTATATCAAATCATAATATATATTGAGTTATTTTGAACAAGCTAAATAATAATAATTTATTATTAAAAAAGAAATATACCATTTCCTTTCAAAGGAGTTTTGCAACCTAAACAAGTAGGTGTTTTGACTGCAAATTTCATCAAGCCACCAACAGTTGGCGTTGTATTTTTTGTCACACGTGTGTGATCTCCAGAAACTAAGAAATAGGCAGGTCGATTGATTATTTATGAAACAAACTTGAAGAAATTAATTTATGAATAATCGCTTACGTAAAGAATTGGATTTGTTCCCTAATATTGGCTCAAAAATTCGCATTAAAGGTTTCGATAATTGATTTTCCAAATAATAATTAGTATCAATTGGAATATTGTTTTCAAGTACATATATTGGATCTTCAGATTTTTCATATGCTGGTGCGTCTATATAAATTTGATATTAGCCTTAATTCAATATCTCTATTATCGTTTAATCTTGAATTGGAACAAATCAAAATAATTAATTACTTTTAGTAGCTTTTATGATTACGTATGCCACGCGATCACCAAGGGTTGGGGCAGACCCTTATTATAGATTATTTAAGCATAAGTATTTCGATAGTGCATTTCGTTACGATTAATGAAAATTTAATGAATAATTAATTTACCAGGATCTCGTTTACGCATACGTTCAGCCAAACACGAATGTGGTTGCTTTGAAGAATAATCTAATTATACTCAAAAAATTAGAATAACTATAAATTTATATATAAAATGAAATGCAAAAACGTGCCTTGTTTAGACAAAGCCTTTGTTATGACGAGTTGAGACATATCAATTTTGTTTTGAAGCAAGTCAGAAATAATCTTTTTTGCATATCTAATACAAATGTTTATAGATTAATCAAAAATAGTATGATATATAAAAAAAAAATAAAATAAAATAAAAGCACAAAACATGCATACTCTTCAGCACCAGAAACATCTCTATCAATTAAAATCTTTCGTAAACAAGTTTCAACCACGTTCTGAACTAGAAGACAATTATCTCGTCTAACAGTCTAAAATGAATTTAATCAATTTAAATAGTTGCCAGCGTAGATAAAAATTTTAGAATATAAATAAAGAAAAAATTATACTTCAATTCCTTTGGTATCTAGTTTATCCCAATTGTTAGGATTTGTCCAATAAAGACCCGCGTACCGTTTTTTATTTATTAATAAATACGGGAAATAAACTTTTTCAAACTCCAATTTAATCGGGTTAAGAAATTTCTCAGTAACATATCCAGCCGCTTCCCTGCCTAAATAAATTATTGATTTAATTATTGATTAAATTGTTGATTAAATTATTGATTGATTAAACTAATTGATTGATTAAATTATTGATAAAAATTATTTACCTAACTCCATTGCTTCAATCAAGTTATTTACACCGAATTTGATCATGACGGAATCAGTATCGCCATAAATAACATGTGCATTATGTTTATATCCATTAGCAATACAAAATCTACTTTCAACTTCCTAGTATTCATTAATCATTTTAATCATAATATGAAAGGAAATCTCATTTAAATAAAAATATCAATTAAAAAGACTCACTTGTTTAGTTCGTTCAATCATTTGACGACCATACGCTGTGACACTTGCTGATATCTCAATGCAAGGTAATTTACCCGCAGTTGCTCCGGTAAATCCGTAGACAGAATTAGCACTAATCTTTAATATTAAAGGATATAAAGTGTTTAAAATATTATTTTTAAAAAAAAAATATTATAATTCATAAAAATTGCGAAAGATCTTACTTTTAGAGCCAATTGTCTCCCATCCAGAACAGCTTTTCTGAAAGGATCTATTTCTTTTTTCAATTCGGCTTTTGCTTTTTTGCGTGCGGCAAGCAAATCTTCAAGAATCGTTGGCAACAATCCCTTACGAAGATTTGGTTTTACAAAACGAGCTGAAAAAAAAAAATCGTTAAAAATAATGAAAATAACCATAAAATTTTATACCAATTTTTATAAATTTATCACCTGAATTATAAGGTGTGGTTATATAATCGACTTCAGCCTTCAAATTTAAATTTTCAATTTCTTTATTATCCAATAAAGTTGTATAACAAAGATTATGTGCAATCATAATTGAAGGGTATAGAGAACTAAAATCAAGTGTTGTTATTGGAACATTATAAAATCCCTTTTCAGGTTCTATTACAGTTGCCCCTTCGAATTGTTCATCGGTTCCTAAAGAATATGGTTTACTATTTAGATTCACGTTATAATTAGAAAAAGCTGCAATGAAAACTTGGTTACCTTCCGTTTTCACTGCTGGAATAACCAAATCTTGCTCGAATGCCTTCCTAAAAAGTTGTGATATCACTTTTATTTGTTGCCCGCGTGAAAGAAGATAATTAAAAGGAACTCCGGTTACACGCGCCATTTCCATATAATTGATAAGGCACATAAGTTTATCCATAAGTCTTTGCGGTAGATATGCATCCTATAAAGGGAGAGTATTAACTATATTAACTATATTAACTACTGATAAAAAGAATAATGATTAAAATTTAAATTGAAAGAAAATAATACCTTTAAACAGTAAATAGCAAGTCGTCGACGTGTTTCATCGTTTCCATTCTGCAAATCTGTAATTATGGAATGGTGCACTTCTTCCTTTTGTTCTCCTAATAATGACCACATATATTTAATAAGTTACTAAAAAAACATATATTAATAAGTTACTAAAAAATTAATCTATATCAATTATTTTAATTTATACAAACCCAAAAAATGTGCACAAACTGAATTCAATGAATATGATCTCAATTTATGTTCACGATGCATTACAGGGAGCAAATCAAATTGAATTCTCCCATCAATATGTGAATTTTTTAGTCAAAGATTAAAATATTATTTTAAATGCAAGATTTTCTTCAAAAACAAAATAAAATAAATAAAATAAAATAAACGATGAAAGGATATTCAACATCTTACTATCACGTATTCCATACGCTTTTGACGAAAATCTAGTTTCTTTGATATCGATTTTTGTTGCTTTAATTATGAAAAGAAAATATTATTAATTGATATTTATTAAAAATAACAAAAATTAATAATAATATTACATTTAATACGACCAAAATAAGGAAATCCTTTAGCTCCTATATGATGAGCGCGATCAAGCAAATAAGGCAGATCAAAATTTATTATGTTATAACCGATTAAGATATCAGGATCCACCTATGTATTGTTATAAATAAAAAATTAATAATTTAATACCAAATCAATTGATCGAAACAATAATGAAAAATAAATAATTTACCTCAACAACAAAATTACTCCATGCTTGCAGCATCTCTGCCTGATCATAACATTCTATGACATCCGTAGCCACTATTGGCGCACACGAATTCAATGTAAAGACATTTCTAATAAAAGGTTTGTCTTCACCTAAAGGATAATATTCAAAAAAAAAAAAAAAGTTATTAAAATGATAATTTATAATGATAATTTATGATAAAATATTACAAACCTTGAATAGTGACCATATTTGCAATTTGTATTACTGGATCGATTTTTGCTTCGGGAAATATGCCTTTACGTCCGGCGCATTCTATATCAAAACTCAAAATACGCAAAGGAGCAATTTTGGACCATTCTCCATCAGGAGCATGACTTATTATTTCATCAAACCTATATAAAATATGAGTTATTTTATATTTGTTTATTAATAATATTTATATATATATATATGAAATTTACCAAGTAACCAATTCTATTTGACAATGTGAATCTCGCTCTTCCAACGGTATAATACGATATTTTTTTGGTGGTATTTCAATCCAATTAGCACCAGTAACCTAAATTATAAAAAATAATAAATAAATAAAATAAAATAAATAAATAAAATAAAATAAATAGAGATAATTAAATTTTGACAAACATTTCTTGACTAACCTTACAATCAATCATAAATCGTAAAACATATAATATATTACTCTCAAATGTCACTTGACTCAAAGGTCTATCTTTGAATTTAAAGGTCCCGGCTTCTATGATACGTATAAGTTAATTAAGGATTATTTTGACAAAAATAAAAATTAAAAAATGAAGATGCCTTATTATTATGTTTAAAAATCAAGGATATGACGTGCAAGAGACATTGCTTTCGTGTCAGAAAAATACATCTTTAAGAAAGGGCATTTTCGATTTCCATGATAGCCTTGTATAGTTTCTTTAAGGTTAATTTCAATTTTGGAAACAAATTGTCTTCCCTGTGATCTCATATCCCTTTGCAGTAAATACTATAAAACAACATTTTACATCAATAATTTTCAATTTTCAATAATTTTTGATGATTTTCAATAATTTTCAATAATTTCTCATTTATTTACCTCAAGACTTGTTTGAAATTCTGCTATATCATCATTTTTAAACCCGACCGGAGCAGGAATATAAAAGTAAGGCTGGAATCCTTTTATATAACATAAAACGCTATTTCCTGCCTAATGTAATGAAATATAAATGAATATAAATCAAATTCACAAATACAAAAAAAAAAAAAAACACATAGAGAATTACCTCTGTAATGCCAAACATACGAATCATTGGTGATCTCATAGAAGAAGATTGATCGATACATTCGTCAACCTCAAATTGTTGAAATACTATATAAAATGTTAAAAAATATCTCAAAATTAAGTGTTCAACTATTAGGTACATACTTATTGGATCGAAATCTGGGTTTATATTCGGTACTGGTCGTGCCCATTTCTGTCGATGTCTTTCGGAAGCTTTCATGAAAATAAATTAAATAAAAAGAAACTTAAATTTCTTTTGTCTATTGAGTTTAAAACAAAGAATATTGAGTTTTAATCTACTTTTTTGAGAATTCTCTTGTAGAAGTGCCAGTTGCTCTTCGAACGTAGATCTTGAAGCATTTGTATGTATGTTAAACCTCTGATTCGGGTTTACTCGCGTAGCTTGAGACATAGTTGCTTTAAAGTATCTCGATATGTTTAATTTATTAATATATCTTGAAAATATAACAGGATGTTTTTTCAGAAAAGTGTAAATTCTGGCAGATGACACGTTTATGCGCATCATTTCAGCGCGTTTCTGAAGTCAACGTGACAAATTTATACAAACATCTACCTGGGGTATAGGACAAGGGTCTTCGTGATACAAACTTTAAAATCACATGATAAGTTGATAATCTAATCCTAAGATAAATGCTAATAACGACGTGGATATGACAAATTGATAACACAATGCGGCCTTTTCTATACAATTATCTTTCAGCTCGGTTTTCAACTGTTATCGCAACAGATCCTATAAAGAAAAAGCTTAAAGAAAAAGTAATTCTTCGTCCTTTACCTGTAATCAAAAGCAAGGTGCCTCAATTTATCATATATGGAATTATAGGTGTATCCTTGTGGACAATTTCCATTACTTTATCATTTAATTATCAACGTCTAAATAGTAGCACTGTTCAGGGGAGTCTTTTTAATGTTAAACATGACTCCAACTCAGTGGAATTATTGGGGAATAATATAAATTTTTCTTCGAAATATCCATGGGTTTCAGGTTCAATTAATAATTTGAAAGGAATTGCTGATATAAAATATTCTATAAAGGGGGACAAAGGTGATTGACACAAATTTATTTATTTATTATTTTAATGCGCGATATCTTTTTCATTATACAATTTCGGATTTTTCTATCTTTATTATAAAACAGGCAAAGGTATTGTCCGATATCACTCCGTACGCGATCCAAAAGATGGGAAATGGAATAATTTAGAATTTAGTTTGACTGCAGAAGACGGAAGAACTATTTCGCTAATTAATTAACAAATTTAATTAAATGAAATTAATAAAAAAAAATCTATAAATATTATTATCTATTTTCCTGAAATCAAAATACATATATCAAGATGTTCATTAATCTCGAAACTCTTGATAGTGTTATTCCCACAAATTGGACACTGGACAAATTGTGTCGAATTATTAGATGAAGATGAAGCTTCTTCATTCGATTTGACTTTATAATTTTCATTATTATCAAAAGAACCATTCGGCTTATTAATGTCTTTAATGTCTTGATTTTTTTTTGAAATCTTTATTTGAGGGTTAACAACATCCATCTTGTTTATTTCATCTATCTCATGTATCTCGTGTATCTCATGTCTACGTTTCATTCCTTTTTTATTTTCCTTTGTAATTTTCTTATTTCTTTTCTTAGTTTCTTTCGGCGTAGGTTCAGATATTTTAACGAAATTTCCACCACATGATTTTTGATGTTCATTCCACCATCGATCTGCAGGTTGAGGTTTCCTATAATAGAATAGAATTTAAAGACTATGGTAAACTTTAAAATTTAAAATAAATTATCTATATTAAAAATTTTTATTACCTATTCATTGAACGTTTCACGATACCGAAATATGGAGCTTTATTCTGACAAGGTCCCTAGTTTTACGATAAATAAATAAAAGAATTTTACAATAAATAAAATTTAATTAAAATTGACATTCGAAATATATATCTATTTATATTTTATGAACGCTTACATCACATTTCCAAATGTGTGTCCTATAATGATCGACTTCTTCATGAAAATTATGATACACTGTTACATTGGTTCCAGCTGCTTCATTAATGCGCTTCATTTGTTCAAGGAATTCCGGACCATGAGCGTCTAAAATGAGAGCTTATTATAAGTTCGTTAAAGATATATTTGCAAAGATTTGAAAAATTCATAAACATATACCATGATTTCTATTGTTTTTTGTTATAAAGAGGTAAGCGTGAATCATTTCATGTAATAGCGTTTCGATCATGTCTTTTCGAGTCCTATATTTTAACAAAGGTTCGCTTAAACGAATACTACAATATCCACCACTTTGATAATAACACAATCCTGCACACTGTCAGAAAGGATAAGTTTTGCATAAATATGAAAATTGGGTATAAAAAAAAAATACAATATGTAGATCGAAATATCTTACTAAAGTCATTTTATTTGACCAGCGAACTTCTACACTCTGTAAACTTCCCAGAAAATATTGTTGATTGAAAGCAATAAATAAAGCATGAAGATCAGGATTTGGTTCAGAAGGGTCGAGTTCGATTGTAAATTCTAAAGTATCACTTCAATTAATCATAGAGCATGTAATCATTTTATAATTATGCAATCGGAAATAAATTACCATTATTATTATTATCATTACAAAGTAAAGTTTTTGAAGAAATCTCGTCTTCTTCGGCTTGCAGTTTAAGTGCTAAAGTCAATGAGTCGACATCGTCGTAATTCCCAGGGTTGAATTCCATTATATTATTTTTAACGTTTACAATTGAATAATTGATATTGATATGTGATATTTAAAGTCAATAAATATCACATGTATAAATGTATTTTAAAGTCTAAATTTTGATCGGTGTGTTACACAAATATTTAGACTTGTTTTGCAATAAATTACCATAATTTGCTGGCCAAAATCCCCGGGTACCTTATACCCCACCCTCCAAAAACTTGAGTTGTACCCAGGGTACAAAATAAGGGGGATACAAATCATAGTTTCCTTATATGATATTTGTATGCATTGTATATGTCAAAATTTTTTTCAAATAAAATGCCAACCTTTTAAAATAAGCAAAAATTACAAATAAAAAAAAGAGAAGTTGGAATGTGAGAGAAAAGTTGGCAATAGTAACATTATTTAAAAGAAATCTCCAAGCTTCTAACATAGTGTAGCAGTAAAATTTAATATAGAACCTAAACAATTAAGAGACTGGCTCAACAAAAAAGAACAACTTTTATTGGTAAAACCACATATTAAAAAACTTTCTACTGGTGCAAAACCTTGATATCCAATACTTGAAATAGAACTTTTCAAATGGGTTAAATCTTTGCACTTTAATTAAAAAGTGGTTTTACATTATATAATACAAGAAAAAACTAAAATTTTATCTAGAAAATTACAATATACTACAATATATCCTAATATATTAGAATGTAAATGGTGTAATAAATAGTTAGAGAGATTTATGTACCATTATAAACTTAGTAATTGCCATCATACAACAATAGCACAAAGGTTACCAGAAGATTTAATAGAAAAACAACATGAATTTTTAAATTTTATTCTTTATTACCATATTCAATATAATTATTCTTTAAGTTTAATTGGAAATATAAATAAAATACCTTTAACTTTTGATATGCCTAGCAATATGACAGTAGAAGAAACAAGTTTTAGGACAGTTAACATATATACTACAAAGCATGAAAAATCAAATTTTACTGTGATAGTTTCTTGTATAACAAATGATACAAAATTGTTACCATTGGTAATTTTTAAACTTGTAAATGTTTTATGACAAATTTTTTCATCAGGTATTATAATTCATACAAATTAGGAGGGATATATGAATTCAGATAAAATAATTTGGTGAATTGAAAACATCTGGAATCAATGTGTTACAAAATCTATTGATCCTTATTCATTACTTGTGTTAGATTCATTTTGTAGTCATTTAACAAATTCTGTAAAAAATAGATTTGATAAAAAAAAAATACAAATTTGACTATTATTCCTGATGATCTAACAAGTAAATTATAACCACTTAATGTAAACATTAATAAATCATTTAAAAACAAGGTATTTTTATTTTATTAATTTATTTTTTATTAAATTTATTTATTATTTAATAATTTTATTTAATAATTTGAAGTTATTAAATTAAAATTATTAAATTTTATAATATCACTAGTGTTATAATGATTGGATGGCTGAAAAGATAAAAAAAAATTAACTTCAACTGAATGTATACAATGTCCTGTATACAATTTAGTTACACAATGGATAAAAATTTTATGAGATAAAATTAATCTAATGCTTATACAATGTTCATTTAAATGTTGTGAAATATTAAACTTTCAGATAAATATATTTTTGATTATAATTGGATAAATGAAAAAAGCAAAAGTGATAAAAATTTTGTATATTTAGATAATAATATAGAAAATGACAGTAATGAGATTAATGATAATTGTGAAAATAATACTGAAATTAATGAAATCAATAATAATTATAAAGATAAAGATGGCAAAAATAATAATAGTGATAATAATAGTAATAATAGTGATAATGAGAGTGATAATAATAGTAATAATAGTAACAACAATAGTAATAATAATAGTAATAATAGTAGTAATAATAATATTGATAATAATAGTGATGATAATTATAATAATAAAATTAATTTTGAAAATTTATAGGAAGATGTATAATATAATAAAAATAATAATAATATAATAATAACGTAAATAATATAATAATATAAACAATATAATAATAATACAAATAATATAATAATAATAGTAATATAATAATAATAATAATTGTAATTATACATGTTCCCAAAATTGATTTTGGATTTTTGAAGTATTTCGACTTTTTGAGATTTATGCAGAATCTATTTTATATATAGAAGTAAAAAAAGTACCTAGTTATATGTATCTTTAATCAAAGAATAAATCTGGGTGGTCA